GTAGAGTGTATTTTAGATGGTTTGTTTTCTGGAATTTAGATATTCATTGAGTTAAATTAGCTCTAATTGTGGAATTATTACAGGACTCCAAAGCTGTCCAGCCTTAGATCATTCTACAGTTTGAATTGACAAGCAATCCCATTTCTGACAGTTACATGAAGTGTAGAACGTTCGGGGCTTCTGCAATATCAATGGAGCCGTGTCAGGTACATTCACTTTATATTGCAGACTGAATCCAATTATCATGTCCTACCACACCTGCTGGAAGTCTGCTCAATGCCTGCACATCCTCTTAATGTTCTTACACATGCTGTGCTCTAAACAGACACACCGAGAGGTCACAAGCCGACTCTATTTTTAAGCATAGGTGACAAAATGGAATTAGGAGATAAAAAGATGCATCTAAATTTCACTTTTCAAATGCAAATCTGCAGCTTCTGCAGAAAGTGTAGGAATTCTAGGTCAATCCTGGCTGTTTTGTTATTCTCAAAGTTCAATCTGTGTTGTAGTTAAAAGTACCCGAATATAGGGAGACATGGAAGGGGGGCCTGCTTGTAACAAATACTTTAAAGAGACACTATAGTCACCAGAACAACTAAAGCTTATTGAATTTGTTCTGGTGAGTAGAATCATTACCTTCAGGCTTTTTGCTGTAAACACTGTATTTTCATAGAAAACGCAGTGTTTACATTACAGCCTTGTGATAACTTCACTGGTCACTCCTCAGATGGCTGTTAGAGATCCTTCCTGGGTCATGGCTGCCTAAAATGCATCCAAACATTCAGTATCTTCACCCTATGCATGCAGACACTGAATTTTCCTCATAGAGGTTCATTGATTCAATTAATCTCTATAAGGAGATACTGATCGGCCAGGGCTGTGCTTGAATCATGCTGGCTCTGCCCCTGATCTGCCTCCTTGTCAGTCTCAGCCAATCGTATGGGGAAGCATTGTGATTGGATCAGGCCACCACTTCTGATGATGTCAGCAGACTGCTTGTTTTTCTTTAGGCACACAGCATGCAGAGTTACAGCTTCTGGCTTGAATACAGTAAGATTTTGCTATATTTATGGAGGCATGAGGGGCCCAGGGGGGCTAGATTGTGGTTTTAACACTATAGGGTCAGGAATACATGTTTGTGTTCCTGACCCTATAGTGATACTTTAACATATTTAATACATTTACTGTATCCCAGTTATGGATAATCACAGAACCAATGCATTACTGCAAATAGTTAATTGCTACGAAGACTCTTACAATTGCTTTCATGAAGGACTCTACTGTGTAGTCATTGTACCCATTGCTTTCATAACTGACAGTTCTCCGTCAGTTCAAAGAGTGCATTTCTTGCTGCAAAGGATTTTGGGAGATGTAGTCCATTGCAGACTGGTGTTTTCCATTTATGTATGAAAGATGTACAGCTTGTTTTATATAAATATATGATGATTTGTGTAGCATTTAGTTTCTATAGTTTAAAAATAAATACATTTACATGCAATTAATTGTGCACTATTAGAATTAATTTCATAAAATAGATACCTGTTTCATTTAACAGCCCCAATCCCCGAATCAAAGAGCAGCACTGAATATCCCGTATTTTGGGAGACAATGTTCCTAGACACTGTGACAAATCGAGTAGGTATCGTCTCTCGCATAACTTATCCTTCAGGCCAAACATTAAAATGTTATATGACTTTAGGTTGATGAACCATTCTCTGAGTACATTATTCATTTTAATTGGTACCCAGGGTGTAATCCATCTTACACAGTCACTCTCTATCATACTGTTAATTCGTATCTTCACTAATAAACATTTATAGCAGTTTTTGTAGAGAATTCCAATGCAAAACGCACCTGTGGCGAAACCGACCTCGCCACGTGTCCTTGGAGGGGGCTGCTTGCCCGCCTCTTGCCTTTGGACTATGGCCCTGCAGGTTAAACTGTTTATTTTCCCTGCAGAAAGGCTTATTCGTGTGATCTGAGTGCCATTCTTCTAATAATGTGCAGTCAGATCCAAGCTATCTGGGGATATGTAGAAATGTGTGTTTTGTGTACTAAATGTGTCAGTATGTAATTTTATGTCTTTTACTGTCTTTTTGTCTGCCATGTGGGTAATGGAGTTTGGCTCTGTCTTTGGAGATAATTAGATTCCTTCTCCAATTATCTCCAGGGCAGAAGGGAGGAAGCCAGGATGCATTGTGGGGATGTTTTACTTTTACTGTTTGAGCCAGGGGGAACAAAAGATACTTTTACTAACTTTTGAACCCCTGGTCTGATTCATGCCATTTTTTTATATGTTGTTCCCCTGAATGGATTGATTGGGAATATGTATTTTTATGCGAATGTGATGTATATTTTGGGAGTTATGAATGTTGTGTAAAAACTGTATTTTCCCTACCTATGATAATTGTATTTTCCTGTGTGTACAGATAATTAGTTTACAGGTAGAGGGGAGGGCTATGTGTGGGATGTAACTATTGTGTGATTGGTTAATGTACGTTACTGTGTGTGTCCCTCCCCTTCATGGGAGCACCTAATAAAAAGGGCTGCAAGCTAGCAGCCAGAGAGTTCTATTTTTACCCTCAACTTGAGTCCTGTCTCTTATTGGGGGAATCTGCTACAAGGGATTGCTATGCTAGGCATATTCCCTTGCTATAATCACTGAGCTCTTGTAAGGAGCTTGTTCCTGCTTCGTTCTGAAGGGAGATAGCTGCAGCCTGCGGTGCTTATGGTGTCTGGTGGAGTGCTTGGAGTCCTCTGGAAGCGCTAGGAGCATCTTTCAACGGAGGTACCCAGTCGGGGTGCCAGGCGATCCGTTACAGCACCAATCTGTCATCAAACTATAAAATAATGAATAAATTCAGGCTAAACAGCAAGTCGGAGAATTTATTACATTTTTGCATAAGAAGGGTAATAAAGTAAGCATAGGGTAACTACACAGTATATAAACAGTTAATTGTCACACTATAGTGGCAACAGAGGCTTGCTAGGTGCGAAACGACTAAAGCCCGTCCTAAACTCAGGCCCTAAATCGTAAAGTGTTCTATAAATCACATCGTTACACTGAATCTTTGATTGAATTCAGAGAATTATAGGAACTTTTGTTTATAAACTCCACACATGCTGTATTACCCCCACACATGCTGTATTAACCCCACATCGGCTGTATTACCCCCACACATGCTGTATTAACCCCACACCTACTGTATTAGCCCCACATCGGCTGTATTACCCCCACACATGCTGTATTAATCCCACACCGGCTGTATTAATCCCACACCGGCTGTTTTATCCACACATGCTGTATTAATCCCACACCGGCTGTATTAACCCTACACCAGCTGTATTACCCCCACACATGCTGTATTAACCCCACACCGGCTTGATTAACTCCACACCTGCTGTATTACCCCCACACATGCTGTATTAATCCCACACCAGCTGTATTAACTCCACACCGGCTGTATTAACTCCACACCTGCTGTATTAACCCCACACCGGCTGTATTACCCCCACACATGCTGTATTAATCCCACACCGGCTGTATTAACCCCACACCTACTGTATTAATCCCACACCGGCTGTATTAACCCTACACCAGCTGTATTACCCCCACACATGCCGTATTAACCCCACACCGGCTTGATTAACTCCACACCTGCTGTATTACCCCCACACATGCTGTATTAATCCCACACCAGCTGTATTAACTCCACACCGGCTGTATTAACTCCACACCTGCTGTATTAACCCCACACCGGCTGTATTACCCCACATGCTGTATTAATCCACACGGCTGTATTAACCCCACACAGTGCTGTGTTTATCCCACACCGGCTGTGATAACCCTCCCTGGCTGTATTACCCCACACATGCTGTGATAGCCCCACACCCACGACGATTAACTCCACACCTGCTGTATTACCCCACACATGCCAGTAATCCCACACCAGCTGTATTAACTCCACCGGCTGTATTAACCCCACCTGCTGTATTACCCCACACATGCTGTATTAACTACCGGCTGTATTAACTCCCACACCCGGCTGTAACCCACATGCTGTGGTAAACCTCCACCTCTGTATTAACCCCACACGGCTGCATTGCCCCACACATGCGGTATGTGGCCGGGAATGCAATGAGTACCCAGGTTATCTCCGCTTATAATCCAAGTGAGACTCAGGAACAAGTAAATAGTAAATCCAAAGGCAGGGTTTCCAGCAGGTAAAATACAGCAATATCCCAACAGCAATCCCAATAACTGGACGACACACAGTTTCAGGAGCATAACTGACAAGCCTTTTATCACAGTCTCCTTATAAAGCATGCTCCCATGCAAGGGAGGGATTTACAGTAATTATTACAGTAGCCAATCCTGTCCTGGTAACCTCCCACACATCCCCTCCCCTCAGCCAGCATCATAATCCCCTTAGCCAGCACACCAATTCCCCCCATTTCTGGATGTACCCCTAAACGTGGGGGTACCTCTTTAAATCCTACATCCCCGGATACCCCTGATCTGGGTGAACAACATATCCAAAAATCACCCAGATCAGACCAGGGGTTCGGGAAAAGTATGGAGGGAATAAAATGACCAACCGCACGAACTGAGATAGCCGAATTCGGTTCCATGTGAATGGGCCTTGCGGTCGGTCCTGGCATAAGGGAATAAAATACACGAAAGCCTCTAGCTATAGAGGCTAGGGGGGGTTCGCCTGAATCCCCTCGCTCGGTATTCTCTATTTACCGAACGAGGGGCCGTTCGGTAGTTTGGAACCGAACGGACCAGGGCTGTGGAGGTCTCAGCGGTGTTCGCCTACTCGAGTGTCCGATTTTAGTTCCAGACACTAGATGGCAAAACACCGCTGTTCGGGAGTTTTAAAATGGCCGCCGCCACGCGTTCGTTTGTCGAATGGCGGCCACCCCCGAGAACAAAGGACGACTACTTACTGTTCAATTACCCGTTCGCAACAATGTTGCAACGGGTAATTGAGGACACACTTCACACAGGGAGGTCGGGTTGTTCGGTAGTTTCATTCGAATAAACTAAGGGAATGAAACTACCGAACAATCAGAGGAATACAATTCTTTTTTCAATACACAGAAAATACAGCAGATACACGGATGCAGCTTTATACAGTATTTTTGTAGGGTCGCCTGGTGCAATCCGCTACACTGCTCCCCCTTGCCCACAAGCCGGCATACACAGTCTGATCCAACACGGATCAGCTTGGGGATGTCCGGGGAGGCTCACGGATCATTTCTCTAGGTCAGTTTGTCGAGACAACCCATCAGCATTTCCATTCTGTTTACCCGGGCGGTACTGAATATTAAAGTCAAAGGGCTGCAGCGCCAGACTCCAGCGCAGCAGCCGGGCATTGTCCCCAGCCACCCGGTTTAGCCATACTAACGGGTTGTGATCCGTGAGCAGGGAAAAAGCTTGGCCGTACAAATATGGCTGTAATTTCTTCAGGGCCCACACCACAGCCAGGCATTCTTTCTCGATGGTGGCGTAGCTTACTTCTCGAGGTAACAGTTTCCGGCTGATGTAAGCCACGGGATGTTCTCCGCCATCGGCCCCGACTTGGCTTAATACTGCTCCCAATCCAAACATAGAAGCGTCTGTGTGGACAAGAAAACGCTTAGTTGGATTGGGAGCGGCCAAGACAGGGGCATTTGTCAATGCATCTTTTAACAACTGAAATGCCTGTTCACACTCCGGGGTCCAGGTTACTTGGCGGGGTAGGTTTTTACGGGTCAAGTCGGTGAGAGGTTTGGCCAGGGCACTGTAATTCGGGACAAATTTCCGGTAGTATCCGGCCGCTCCTAAGAACGCTAACACCTGGGTCTTAGTCCTAGGGGTGGGCCATTGAGCTACAGCCTCTACTTTGGCGGGTTCCGGCTTTTGCTTGCCGCATCCTACCCGATGACCTAGGTACTGTACTTCAGCCATTCCTATGCTGCATTTGGCTGGTTTCAGCATTAAACCAGCGGCCCTAATCCTATCTAGGACCGCTCCTATATGGGTCAGGTGTTCCTGCCAGGTATTGCTGAAAATGGCAATATCGTCGAGGTATGCGCAGGTATAATCCTGGAACCCATCTAGGAGGCGGTCCACCATCCGCTGAAAAGTAGCCGGGGCGTTTTTCATCCCAAACGGCATAACCTTAAATTGGTACAAGCCGAATGGGGTGACAAAGGCCGACTTAGGGATGGCGTCTTGTGCCAAGGGTATTTGCCAATACCCTTTACACAAGTCAATTGTGGTGAGATAGTGCCCCCTCGCCATCCGATCCAGGAGTTCGTCTATCCTGGGCATAGGATAGGCGTCCGATACCGTCTTCTCATTTAATCTCCGGTAGTCTACACAAAACTGGTCGTGCCGTCCCGCTTTGGTACTAGGACTACCGGAGATGTCCAGGGGCTGTCAGAGGGCTCAATCACCCCAGCTGGAGCATCTCATCTATCTCCTTGCGCATGTTCGCCCGTACCGCTTCTGGGATGCGGTACGGGGTCTGACGCATGGGAAGTTGCCCTGGGGTGTCTACTCTGTGAGTGGCCAGAGGAGTGTAACCAGGTACATTAGAGAAGATATCCTGCTTCTCCCTCAACAGCTGTTGTACCTCGCTCCGCTCCTGTGGGCTCAACCGATCCCCCAGGGTGACCTCCCCTAAGTCCCCGGATAACTGACCCTCTCCCAGCAGATCCGGGAGAGGTAAACTGTCAAACTCCTCGGAGTTAGGCGCACATATAGCGGTCACTTCCTCCGAGCGCCCCTGGTAGGGCTTCATCATGTTCACATGGAGCATGCGTCGCCCCCCAGTACCAACGCACGAGCCGATTATATAAGTGGTGTCACACCGTTGTTCCACCACCTTATAAGGGCCCTGCCAGGCGGCCTGTAGCTTATCGTGTCGGACAGGTTTTAAGATTAACACCTTCTGCCCGACCTGAAAGCTACGGTCCCTGGCGCCCCGATCATACCATGTGCGCTGGCGTGTCTGAGCCGCCTGCAAATTCTCGCGTACCGTCTGAGTTAAGGCCTCAAGGCGGTCTCGGAATGCCAACACATAGGGTATGATGGGGTACCGTCAGTGCTCCGTTCTCCCTCCCAATGCTCTCTGATCAAATCTAAAGGCCCTCGTACCCTGCGGCCAAACAATAGTTCAAATGGGGAGAACCCAGTGGATTCCTGCGGCACCTCCCGGTAAGCAAAGAGGAGGTGCGGCAGGAACTTCTCCCAGTCCTTGTGGGTCTCTGCGAAGGTTCGGAGCATTTGTTTTAATGTACCGTTGAAACGTTCGCAGAGCCCATTCGTCTGGGGGTGGTAAGGGGAACTAATGACCGGCTTAATGTCACAAAACTTCCAGAGGCGCTGCGTGACTTCGGCGGTGAACTGGGTGCCCTGATCGGAGACAATCTCCCTGGGGAGTCCCACCCGGGAGAATATCTTCATCAGGGCTTCCGCTACTGTCTCAGCCTGTATATTCGTCAGGCCCACCGCCTCTGGATATCTAGTGTCATAATCTACTACGGTCAGGATAAATCTTTTACCTGACGGGCTTGCTTTGTTGAGGGGTCCTATTAGGTCCACTGCTACCCTGCTAAAGGGTTCCTCGATTATGGGGAGGGGATGTAACTTGGCCTTGCGCCGGTCCCCCCTTTTCCCCACCCTTTGACAGGTATCGCACGTGTTGCAATACCTGCGCACCTCCTGGCTAATTCTCGGCCAAAAGAAACTTTGGGTTAACCTGTATCGGGTCCTGCTGACCCCTAAATGTCCAGATAGCGGAATGTCATGGGCTATCCGTAGTAACTCCGCCCGGTACCGCGGAGGTACCACTAACTGCCTCATCACAATCGGGTCTGACCCGGATACCTGCTTATCCGTCTCCCGATATAACAGCTGGTTGTCCCAAATAAACCTTTCGCCCTCCCCCCCAGGCGTGTCTGCTGTCACCTTGTCCCTATACACCTGCAAGGTGGGATCAGTCACTACCTCAGCTGCAAATTCGCTAGGAGGGGCCCAGGGAACACAGTCAGGGGAAGGGGAAGGATCTCTTACCTGGACCTCCGGGAGTGTGTTGTAGTCCTGGGTGCGGGCCTGTTGTCGAGTGACCACAGGGTGAGCTTCTCCTGTGGTGGGTGTCTGGGGCTCAAAAGCAGATGTGAGCCTCCCCAGATCGCTCCCCAATAAAACCTCCGCCGGTAACTGCGGCATCAACCCCACCTCCACATGCCCTGCCCCCGCTCCCCAATGCAAATGTACCCTTGCTGTGGGTAGCCGGTATACTGCTCCCCTGGCTACCCTGACGGCCACAGTCTTGCTAAGTTTAGCTTGGTCTGAGACCAGGTGACTTTTTACCAGGGTGATGGTGGCTCCTGAGTCACGTAGCCCCTGAACTGCTTTTCCCTCCAGATACACGGTCTGCCTGTGATGCTGGCGGTTGTCTGCGTTAGCCTGGACGGGATCTGCCTCGTGCAGTACCTCCCACTGCTCTACGGTTGTGATGGGAACTGCTGAACCATACGGTGTGGCCACGATGTCCTGGTAGTGATGGGCTGCGGCGGCTCTCGGTGGTGGTGGTGGACCGGGTCGGATCCAGGTGGAACGGTCCCGCAGCTGGGGGCATTCCCTTTTATAATGTCCCCACTTCTGGCAGTGGTGGCAAGGGCCCGACGTGGGCTGGCGGAAACGTGGCTGTGTAGCGGGTGGTGGTGGTGGTGGCAGTGACCTTGGTAGAGCTGGCGTGTAGTTATTTCCCCCAAAGGTTTTAAAAGGTACTTTTGAAGCTGCAGGTTTTTGCTGCCTGCGTGCATCCAGGTACTCGTCTGCCTTCCTGGCTGCTTCGGTAAGGGAGGTAGGGTTTCTGTCTCTTACCCACTCCTGTACCTCGCTGGTTACTCCTTCATAAAATTGCTCCAGTAGTACCATTTGCAATACATCCTCCATAGACCGTGCCTTGCTCGCTTGCACCCACCCCAAGACTGCTCGTTGTAGTCTGCATGCCCACTCAGCATGTGAGTCTTTCTCCACCTTCTTTAAATCCTTGAATCTCCGCCGGTATGCTTCTGGTGTTATAGCATACCTGGCCAATATAATTTCTTTCACTTTGTGATAATTCCGAATTTCATCATTCGGTACAGTCCGGTATGCCTCAGCTGCCCTCCCAGTTAACCTTCCTGCCAAAATGGGTACCCAGTCCTCTGCGCTGATTCTATGCAGTGCACACAGTCTCTCGAAATCTTGCAGGAAAGCGTCTATCTCTTCCTCTGCCTCCACATATGTTTTAAAAGCCTGGTACGGTATTTTTGGCTTACCTTCATGTGGCATATTTACTGCAGAGCTGCGTTCTGGGGCCGCTGTTTGACTCCTCAGTATAAACTCCTGGACCTCCGTTATCGTTTTGGAAATAATCTCTGTTGGAGGGTGTTCCCCATAGAAAGACAGTCGAAATTGTACCTGCCTCTGGAACTCCCTTTGTTCCGGTGTTTCTCCCGAATTCCCCTGTTCGGGAACCGAATCGCCTTCCATTCGGTACTCCGCCATCAGTTCAGTGATAAGTACCGCTTTTGTCTTATTGTTGGCTTGTATACCCTTTGCCTCCAGAAGGTCTTTTAGCGTGGAGCGTTTTAGTGTGGCAAAATCAATCTCCATCCGTACTCCATTTAGGCTTGTTCCTCTGTGAGTCTGGATCCCAGCGCTGCCAACCAATGTAGCGGAGATGCAATAGTACCCAGGTTATCTCCGCTTATAATCCAAGTGAGACTCAGGAACAAGTAAATAGTAAATCCAAAGGCAGGGTTTCCAGCAGGTAAATACAGCAATATCCCAACAGCAATCCCAATAACTGGACGACACACAGTTTCAGGAGCATAACTGACAAGCCTTTAATCACAGTCTCCTTATAAAGCATGCTCCCATGCAAGGGAGGGATTTACAGTAATTATTACAGTAGCCAATCCTGTCCTGGTAACCTCCCACACATCCCCTCCCCTCAGCCAGCATCATAATCCCCTTAGCCAGCACACCAATTCCCCCCATTTCTGGATGTACCCCTAAACGTAGGGGTACCCCTTTAAATCATACATCCCCGGGTAGCCCTGATCTGGGTGAACAACATATCCAAAAATCACCCAGATCGGACCAGGGGTTCGGGAAAAGTATGGAGGGAATAAAATGACCGACCGCACGAACAGAGATAGCCGAATTCGGTTCCATGTGAATGGGCCTTGCGGTCGGTCCTGGCATAAGGGAATAAAATACACGAAAGCCTCTAGC